GTGGCTGCTCCAGGTTGCCTTGCAGGCAGGGCCAGCCATTGCATTTCTCCTCCCATTCACAGTCACCCATTCAGTCTGCTTTTTCTGCAAGGGCATACAGGTTGTAAGACAATGGGTACTGGCAGAGAAACCTAGACAGTGGAAATATGCTGCATGCAGTGACCTTTACACATAGCTATGGTTGGTATCCAGAGCAGTGTGTTCCATGGAGGCTATGTTTTCACATGCCTTCACAAAAGTTATCAGTTGGGACTCCTTTTTTAACAGAGGTGTTTGGCAATACTGACCAAAAATAAATCTATAGGAATTGTGTGGCCACTCCCCTCCTCCCACCCTCCCCAAAACTTCAAAGTTTATATCCTCCTCTTGGAGTTTGAACAAAGCTGAGGTCCAGCTTTCCTGAAGTCCAGATCACGATTTCTCCTTGTAAAACATACGTTTGTACAGGAGCGTCAAAAGGTTTACCTGCCTGGGGTCATAAATGGCAAGAGATTTGGGCAGGTGATACATAAGGTATTACATACAAAATGGAAAATAAACAGATTACGCTTTTAAAAGCTCTCACCTTGAGCCTGGAACCTATCGTGGTGTACCCATTTCCATAGGAGGAAATGGCATTAAGCTATTTAGGGTATGTCTGATCTGTGACTTAGGATGTTATCGTACAGATTGTTTGCGTAACTTAACAGTGAGGCCTGGCATGACAACCTTGTCAACAAGTGTCAGGAATCAGGATGTGTGAAACACTTCATGCCTAGAGGCTGTTTTAGTAACCAAGCAGCAGGTGCTCTAGAGAAAGTGTCAGCCCCTCAAGCTGCAAAGTTCTTCCCAACACTCCCCTTTTTCAATACTCAATCTGTCACTTTCTGTGTTTCAGGACTATCATCTCTCTAGTTTGCTTTTTTTTTTTTTTTTTTTTTTAAACTTGTCAACAAATCTCTACAAATATTGGATTTTTCAGCTTGGTGGCCAAACAGGAATATAGAACAAGAATTAGTTTAGGGTCAACTTGAAACTCAACGCTTTATTTCAGGTTATAAAACCTTTGTAAATTTAGGTCTATTTTAAAACAAAAAATGTTTCAAAACAAGAAGTCGTCATAAAAACTTTCAAGCTTTTTAAGTTATCCTATTTTTTCTGAATGAAATTGCATTGTCTGGTGACTATACTCTTTAGGGAAAAGATATGCAGGTCTGCTTAACAGTGCCTTAGAGTTTTAACTGTTGTTTCCAGGTTGTTATAAGATTACAAAATATTTGGAATACCTAGACTGTTGTTTGCTTAGGTTTATAAAGCTATGCATCAGAAATCTAGCAATCCAGAGTTCATATAGTTATTTCATATAGCTTCACTAAGAGCTGCCTATCCAAATAAATAAAGTATTTATTTGAGCTATTTGATGGTGTTGCTTTGACTGCAATTGTCTTCTGAAAACCACATAAGCAGTAAATTCAATTTTAGTTCTTGGTAGCAAGCAATAGCAGTGTAAAAATGTCACAATGCATTGATCTCCCTGTAACCAAGAAAGGTAGGATTTTATGCATGAGATATACGTTCATTATTATTTCAGTATAGCTTTTCAATAAAGTCATTATTTTTTAGAAGTCTTAATTGGAATTTATATAATATAAACTTTAATTTAGATTCAGTCCAGTTTTGCTGGTATTTTCTTACCTAATTTTTATGGAGATACTGGGTGATGACCATACCAGATTGCAGTTCTTCTCAGCCAAAATCCTGAAGCAATATGCTGTATTAGGTCCTTCTTTATGAATATTTGTAAGAGCATTGCTGTATCAGAATGTGAGGTCTCTTAACTTCAGCTTTTTAGTTGTTTTTTATTCAGTATAGACAAGTTCTTGTAAGTGAAATGATATGACCTTTCATAAATGACCTATCTTTTTATATCATTAGCAAATACCTAGCTTTATGTTTGAAGCTTCTATTTTGTTTCATTTATGTAGATGCAAAGTACAATCAGGGAACATAGAGATGGTGGGAATGCTGGAGGGATCTTCAATAGATATAATGTCATCAGGGTAAGTTTCAAAGACTTAAGAAAATTAGATGGACAGAATCATTTTGATGTCCTGGCCTTTCATGATAAAAAATTAACTACAAAAATCTACATGAATATGGTGTTAAGGTAGCCATGGTAAGCACTTGAAAGTAGGAAATGCTGTAATTAAGACTGCCATGCCTCCTATGCACAGAATGAGGCAGGATTCCAGTGGGAGGAAGAAAAAGAAACATGCTCATGTCATTAAAGACTATTGTACCTTATTCACACAAGGGACTGAGATAAGGCTGCAAAAACATCTTTCATTCTAGGTTGCCTAAATTTTTGAATGTGTGACCTCAGTGAAAACACCAAAATAGTCTCTTTGCTCTCAGTTCTTGTGCTTACCACTGCTGCAACACCCTGAAGCCTTGAGGTGGGGAACGGTCAGTCCTTCTCACACATGTGATGTTTCCTGGAATTATGCCAAAGGTCCTGTAATTTAGACCTTTCAGGCTCCAGCAAAGCCAGCTGAACCTCCCACATTTGCAGACTTCTATCTAGAATCTGTATAACAGTACTCTGTTCTGGCTTAAGGGATTTCCATGGCAAGGGTCTGTTCATTCTGCTTCAGTGGCATTGTCCTCAATGTATGCTCAAGATTACCCCTTCTAGTAACCTTGGTAGTGATCGCAAAAGACTAGATAAGTCTCCGAAGCACATTCTTTTTTTTGCCAAATTAAACCTGGT